CTAATACAGATTTGCACAACACAGCAGAAATAAGTGCCTCCATCGTTAATCAAAGTTGCTCTCAAAAGTATAAAAAAAAAGCCAAGAGAACAGCATACCAAAGACACAAGCATTCATTGCAGCGCTATGAATAAATGATCCTAAAACTACAAAAAAATAAAACCTTTTTAAATTGGCACACTAAACCCCTAATAGTAGGGGGTTATATTATGGTGAATGTATGCTGTTTTGCCCTTTGACCATTAAAATTCATGTATCCATTATTTTATATACTGATCTTCTGCAATTCATCTAACCAATCTTAGCAAGTCCGGGGAACTTCAGTTATTCCTGGGGAGAATTAGAATAGGGCCTCCATTGTGAAAACTATGCATAAATTAAGTAAAACTGCACCTTTTAAAAATATCCCAAAAACACAGGGAGGAATTATATTGATTTTTTCCCCCTCGTTCTTTTTTTAAAGATTTATTTACTTATGCATACAAGAACTGGGATACCAAAAAAAGAACTGGGGTACAGGCCAGAAGTGCAGGGGGTGAGAGGATTCACCAGAGACAAAGTGGGGAGCAGAACACGCAGACTGAAATACACTGCTGAGGGGAGCAGTGGGGAGACAGGGGAGGTCTGCAGCGCCATGTGGATAGTTTCCTGGCTGACAAGGGATCAAACTCGTGCAGAGGCTGAAGACAGCTTCATAGTGCTGTGCTTAACCCCTTGTGCCACCGGGGAGGCCCAGCAATTATATTGATAAAGTATGGTTTGTCAAAACACATTTTAAATATTGTGTTTAAAAATTTGTTTTGGTGTTGAGGGTTTGTCCTGTTTGGTGACAGGCCAAGCAGTCCCCCTATTCCCTGCCAGCGCCATCTCCTCCCACCTGAGCTGTGAAAACCAAAAAAGCCTCTGGATAGTTCCACATTCCCCTGGAGAGAAAAAATACTTCCCCTGCGCCCCATTGAAAACCACTGCCCTTATCCTAAAACCCACGGATTGTTTTGGGTTTTAGACCCCCAGATCCAAAAAATTGCCCATCAGTCTTATTTGCTCCATAAATATAGTCAAGTCAATTTCAGTGTTTGTTGAATGAATAATGAAGTCCCCAGGAGGTGGGATCCCTTTCTTCCGGGTGTGTCGATTCAGACCAGCTCAGAGCTCAGAGATTAGGGAGAGTCTGGGCGGGGGCGAAGGCAGGGGAGGGGAGGGAAGGGGAGGGGTCTTGCTCCTCGGCTGGAGGGGCCAGAGTCTTCAGCTCATATAAGGGCCCCGCAGCGTCCTCCTGCAGAGGCGCAGCTCAGCTCCACCTGGGTCCCGGTAAGCCATCCCTGGGCCTTTTCCTCCTCGGCTTCCCTCTCGCCCCCCCCCCCCCTTTGCTCCCTTGGGCGCTTTGCCACTTGGCTTTTGGGACCGGAAATGCCTCCCGAGTGAGCACCTTTGCACCCCGCCATCGCTCGCCCTGATTTACCTCACTCGCTATTCTTCCGAGTGCATTCTCGGCATCTTTTGGGGTGCAGAATCTGTTGACGACCTCATCTGTAGGTAATCCGGCCGTGGGCATGAGGTTAGCTGTAGCCATGGCAGGAACTTGGCAATTTTATGTCCACCGTTTGGGGGTGAGGTGGGTCTTATCACAGCTTCTGGTTTTGCATTTTCTGTTTTCCAGGTCTGTTAGCCGCTGACCCTGGGGAGTCTCCAGCCCTTCCGCTGGGAATGGCGCCTCCAGTAGAACCCCTCAGCCAGTGGCACTCAAACTGTGGGGGCACTTTCTGTGCCAATGAAGAAAGTGCCGCCATTTTTTGAGTGTTACCGGCTGAGAAAGTACCTCCCAAGTGGGCAGAAGAGGACGGCGGCGCGGTTTCGACCTCGGGCCTACGCCAGGTTGGCCCAACGAGCCCACAGCCAGCCTGTGACACTCCAATGTGGAAGCACTCCCCAAGTTCCCACCGGGAAGTGCTACTACATTAGGGTATCACCGGCAGGCCCCTTCCATGGATCCCAAGCCTGGTGCTCAGCCTCTGCGCCGGAGAGTGGGTGCTTAGACCGTAGACCCCACGGGGCCTTAGCACCTGGCGGTAATACTAGCTTGATATTAAGGGTCTGAAGTGAAGATGGAAGTCAGCTGTATTCACCTGCAGATCAGCTGAGCTTTATTTAGCCTGTTGCCCTGCTCGGGCACAGACGCCCTCAGGACATGTGGGGGTGCCCTTGCTCCCACGGGCTTGTGCAGTGGTGCCCTATGGTAGTAGGTTGAGCCTACGGGGGCCTAGAGGAGCAAGTTCCAGCAGCTCATACCGTGAGACTGAAAATGGGGGCGCTTGCCGTGGTCTAGGACTGGAAAGTGCTTCCATTTTTAGTGTCACTGTTTGAGGAGAGCAGCCTTGGATCCAGCGGGAAAGCCACCGGCCATTTGAGAGTCACCAACCAATGTCTTTCCATCTCCAGCCTCCTCAGCTTTCTAGGTTGCTGATGCAGCCTAGATGAGGACCTCCCTGGTGGTGCAAGTGTATTCCTTAGCCGCGGTTTGCTTCCTCCCCCTACATGTATGACATTCTGGAATCTACAGCACCTAGATTGAGTGGTTTACTGGATGTGGGTTCTTACTGTAGCAAGTCGTAATGCAAAAGTGGGGCTAGATGCTTGAGTTCATGTCAATGCATCATGGAAAGATAAATGTGAGTAAAATGTGAGCTGAACATCCATTAAAGCTTGTATTAATATTGGTCCGTTTTTTTCCGTAGGCCAACTGAGGTCCATAAAGGTTTGGGGAGGGGGGAGTGGGCTGGGCCCTGAGCCTTGACTGGCCTTGCCAGCTTGGGTCATCCCCTTAGCTGAGACAGGAAGTTAGGCCATTTACCTGTTAGGGCTCTGAAGTATATACCTTATTGTCTGTCTCCTCACCCCACACCTGGTGTGACTTAGTGTCCAGGAAAGGCAAATAGCCAACCTCAACTGTCTTACTTGGAACCATTAAGTTGAAATTGCTTTGTCAAGACTTAAGCAACTTTACATTTGAAAAAGGTCCCTGCTGTGAAGGGAGGGTCTCGCCCTTACCTAGGTCACTAGACACGTCCAGCCTGTGCTTCTGGTCTGGTTTCAGTTCCAATCTAAAGGCAATTTATAGGTGCAGCAATTAAGTCATTACTCCCCCCGGCTAAACGAAAATTGAGGTTAGGAGATGGTTCTTGGTGGGTGGGTTTGAGAGCCCTTCAATGGGATATTTTGTCTTTTAAAATTAATTCACACAAGAACTGGGATATAGGCCAGAGGTGGGGTGGGGGTGTGTGAAGGGATTCACCAGAGACAGTGGGGAGCAGAAAAGGCAAATTGAGTGAAATCCACAGCTGGGGGGGAGCAGCAGGTGAGTCAGGAGTGGTCTGCACCATGTGGGTCAGCTCCCTGGCTGGGGATAGCTTCATAGGCTGCATCCTAACCCCTTGTGCCACCAGGGAGGCTCCATTTTGTCTCTTTAAATGGATAGAGGGCCTCCCCTGGTGGCCCAGTGGTTAAGCGCTGGGCCGTGAAGCTGCTCGCGGCCTCTACAGCACCAGTTCGATCCCCGGCCGCCGGTGAGGGTCCCACATAGTGCGACAGACCTCTCCTGCCCACTGCTCCCCTCAGCAGTGTATTTCATCAGTCTGCCTGTTTTTTTTTTTTTTCATAGAGGCATGTTTTGTTTATACATGCACTGTGTACAGTCAGAAGTGCGGGAGGGAGAGAGAATTCACCAGAGCCAGAGCGGGGAGCAGAGCAGGCAGAAGGACCGAAGTACACTGCTGAGGGGAGCAGTGGGCGGTGGGAGAGGTCTGCGCACCATGCGGGACCCTCCTCCGGGGGCCGGGGAGCAGCCGGCGATCAAACCAGCGCTGCAGAGGCTGCGGGCAGCTTCGCAACCCAGCGCTCAACCGCTGCGCCACCGGGGAGGCCAGTCTGCCTGTTTTAAAAATAAATGGATAATTGAGACATGAACCCCTTTTGTTAGCCCTTGAAGATAACGAGTCTCCAGCTGGCCACCCCTAACTAGCGCACCTAAGTTTACTTAGTGAAAGTCCTGTAGTCCTAAACCTGGGGTTCCCTACCTCTTAGGACACCTGAATCTAAGATCAACAGTCCCATACCCAATACATAGCAGTTGGCTCAAATTCTCAGGTATCCTAGGGAATGTGTAATTCCTTGGTTACCTCGGTGAGGGTCACCCATGGGCGTCTGGTGAGTGGGGGCAGGTAACCTACTTGGGAGGTGCTTGAGTCAGACAAGCATGGGCTTCTGGAAGTTTGCATTTCTGAAGTCTTCAGAAGTTGAGTTTCCTACACTTTAATGGATTACAGGGACTGTTATCTACAATTCCAACCACTTGAAGTCTTCAGATGTTTTGTTACAGTTTAAGCATGTTCGTAGCAGTGTTGAGAGCCTGGACAATCATTGGTCTAGTCTCAATTTTTATAAGACTGCTTGGTTTTGTTCTTGATTTAACCCAAAACATCGATGGCTTCCCACCCACGGAATCCTAAGCCTCTATCCACTGAAATTGAGTCCCCTGTCACTTTGAGTGGGGGAAGGGTGAGTGGAGTGGAAAGCGACCTCCCTTGAGATCCCAGGTCAAGAATCCCCCGGGCTCTCCTGCCACGTTTTCCATGGCACCCACATTCCCAAAATCAAAGCTCAAAATCTCATTACAAACTGACTACATAGAGCCTCCCCTGGTGGTGCAGTGGTTGAGCGCTGGCTGCGAATCTGCCCGCAGCCTCTGCAGCACCAGTTAGATCTCTGGCCTCCTGTGAGAGTCCCACATGGCATGACAGACCTCTCCTGCCACACCCACTGCTCCCCTCAGCAGTATATTTCGTCCTTCTGCCTGCTCTGCTCCCCGCTCTGGCTCTGGTGAATTCTCTCACCCTCCCGTGCTTCTGACTGTACCCAGTGCTTGTATAAATAAGTAAATCTTTAAAAAAAAAAAAGAAAAAGGAAAAAAAAACTGACTACATAGACTCCAAGTAGAAAGGATTTATGCTGCATGAGTTTATCTTGAGTCAATAAAGATCTTGGTCATTATCTTGATTCATGGGTCCTGGGATGGGCTTGACCTCCAGAGAAGGACCAGCAGATACCATTCAGCAGCCAATGTCTAGGTAAGGTTTGGTCACGCGGAGTTCCGCCAACCTCCTGTGGGTGGATTTGCTCAGTTCCATTCCAAATAACCTGAGAACAGAGTGGGCAGTAGGATTACAGTCTAGGATTGAGGTTTTCAGTCAACACATCAAATCTAATTGTTTCCCTAATTCCTTTATTTTTTTGTGGGACCCTCGCTGGCAGGCGGGGAATGAACAGGGGCGCTGCTGAGGCTGCGGGCACCCTCGCAGCCCAGCGCTCAACCGCTGCGCCACCAGGGAAGGCCCTCCCTAATTCCTTTAATTAGTACTTTACCTGAAACCAAACGCTATGGGAAATAGGCTTATTCTAAATAACACAATTTAAGTCCCTAATCAGTGTTAATTCATTTAATCTGTAGTAGCCTTATGAAGAAGCAACTGTTTTCCTAATTTAACAGACGAGGATACTGGGCCTCCCTGGTGGCGCAAGGGGTTAAGTCTCAGACTATGAAGCTGTCCGCAGCCACTGCAGCATGAGTTCGATCCCTGGCCAGGGAGCTACCCACATGGCACAGCAGACCTCTCCTGTCTCCCCACTGCTCCCCTCAGCAGTGGATTTCAGTAGATCCGCCTGTTCTGCTCCCCACTCTGTCTCTGGTGAATCCTCTCATGCCCCACACCTCTGGCATGCACCCCAGCTCTTTAAAAAAAAAAAAACAACAAAACACAAAACAATAGACTGGGATACTGAGGTGCTAAATTGCAAAAGTGTATCGCTAAGTGGGTAAGTGATGGAAGTATGAACCAGGCAGAGTTGTTGCAGATCCTCACTAAGGCTGCGATGACCACATACGGGTGAGTAGGGATAGGCGGCAAATTATCTAAGGTCATGGAGACAGCCAGCAGGGGTTACAGGTATCTCCCGAGAGGTATATGTAGTAAGGTCTCCCGTGTACGCCACATGAATGAAATTTTAACAAACTTTCTGGATTATTTGTGCAAACAGTGGACCTCAGTTATTGACCCTCACTCCAACTCTGAAACCCGTGTGCTGTCTTCAGATCCTAGGACCAGGTCTCACCAGAGGACTTGGAGTTTGCAGGCAGGAAGGCTCAGTCTCGTGCACAGCAGCCTGACACCGACATTCCCCAGGGCGTTGTTGGTCAGATAAAGCTCCTTCAGGGTCTGGTTGACCCCCAGGATGGAAGAAAGATCCTCACAAGCTTTAGCTGTAAGGCCACAGCTATCCAGCCTGTTGAAGCAATATCAGGAGTCAGGTGATATTCTCAGGGGGCCAGTGTGAGAGAAGGTAGAGTAGAACCAAAGCAGTTTAGGTCAAGGGCAGGGTGGTGATAGAAAGAAAGCACTTAAGACTCATTTACAGATGGCCCTCCATCACAGGCCCCTCTCTAAAGGACTCCTGTTGATTTTGCAGCCAAGTATCCATTTCCCCTCCTGGGAGTTCTACCCCAATGTCCCATTGAAACCCATTTCAGGGCCTCCCCCGTGGCACAGCGGTTGAGCACTGGGTTGCGAAGCTGCCCACAGCCTCTGCAGCGCGGGTTCGATCCCCGGCTGCTCCCCGGCCACCAGAGGAGGGTCCCACATGGTGCGCAGACCTCTCCTGCCGCCCGCTGCTCCCCTCAGCAGTGTACTTCGGTCCTTCTGCCTGCTCTGCTCCCCGCTCTGGCTCTGGTGAATTCTCTCGCCCTCCCGTGCTTCTGACTGTACCCAGTGCTTGTATAAACAAAACAAACAAACAAATAAATAAATAAAACATGCCTCTATAAAAAAAAAAATTAAAAAAAGAAACCCATTTCAGTCCATCAGGAATTCATGTTGTCCTCGAGCTCTAGAGGGGGATCTAGATCTAAACAAAAATGAATAAGTAGGGCCTTCCTGGCAGCGCAGCGGATTGGGCACCATGCTATGAAGCTGTCCACAGCCTCTGCAGTGCGCGTTCGATTCCCGGCCGGCCAGGGAGAAACAGATGGCACGGCAGACCTCACCTACCTCACCCGCTGCTCCTCTCAGCAGTGCTTTTGGTCTGTCTGCCTGTTTTGCTCCCCACTCTGTCCCTGGTGAATTCTCTCACCCTCCCGTGCCTCTGACTATACCCCAGTTCTTGTATAAACAAATCTTTTTAAAAAATGAATAAATGTAGAACCCTTGGCAAGGAGCTTAGCACACAGTTGATTTTCAATAAATGCTACCCATTCTTGTTTTTATTGTAATAGCAGTGAATACAGGAAAGAAAGAAATTGGAGACAAAGCAAAAAAAACAAAACAGTAAATCATACAGTACCAGTTTATACTGACTTCTGAAAATAAAGTATTTATTGACTTATGTAACTGAAAAACTGCTTCAGGCATGGCTTGATCTAGGTGTTTGAAATCTCAATCTCCATTATCTTCTATATTTATTGCTGTATTGATTCCATTAACAGTTAAAGTTAGCCTTAACCCTACTTGGGACAAAATGCCTGCAGTTCTTCCCAGGTTCAAATTCTGAATGAGGACCTCCCTGGTGGTGCAAGGGGTTTAGTCTCAGTACTATGAAGCTGTCCCCAGCCACTGCACCACGAGTTCGATCCCCAGCCAGGAAGCTGACCCACATGGCACAGCAGACCTCTCCTGTCTCCCTGCTGCTCCCCTCAGCAGTATATTTCAGTGGATCTGCCTGTTCTGCTCCCCACTCTGTCTCTGGCGAATCCTCTCACCCCCACCCCACCCCGGCACCTCTGGCCCACACCCCAGCTCTTGTATCATAAATAAATAAAATAAATCTTTTTTAATAAAAGACAAATATTGTATAATTTCTTTCATATATGGTTTATAGAGAAACCAAGTAAATGAATGAACTAAATAAAACGAAAGTAAACTTTTAGGCTACAAAACCAAAATAGTCATTAAAGAAAGGAGAGAGGAAGAGGACAGAGTAAATTGGGCAAAGATTTTGGCAGACCCCACGCTGTATGCAGAGATGCTGATTCACCCTGGACTTTACCCTGGAGAGAGACAAAGGGGGAGGAGGAACAGGCAGGAAGGAAGACTATGTGGTGAATTTAATGTAATTTATACACAGTTATTTACAATGATGCACACATGAAACTTGTATAATGTTACAATGCAATATTACTGCAATAAAAAAAGTATATCAGGGCTACTTTGGATAAAAAGCTGGGAATCATTTACCCAAGTAAATATCAAGGAAGATGGGATTTTACAGAAAATGGTTAGAGGCAACAACTGAAGGAAACATTCAGCGTCTTATGTTTGCATCCGCAAGGAGAATCAACTGTTTGCCCTTTTCTTTCCACCGCTATACTCCTGTAACCGTCACAACGCATGGAGGGATAAAGCCCTGTGCAGAAAAATAAAAAGGGCAAGAAAATGTCCTGCCCCAGTGACCACCACCAACGACCACTCACCACAGTTTCTGGAGCCTGCAGCCCGGGTGCCGGAGGCCCTCACACAGCCACCACATGCCGGGGTCGCCCAGGTCGTTGAAGCTCAGGTCCATGTCCCGGAGGTGCGGGTTGGCCCGTAGCACAGCACACAGGCCCTCACAGGCAGCAGCGCCCAGGCGGCAGATGCCCAACCTGCAAAGACAGGGTCGGCTCATCCCTTCCGCACACACCTGGGGAAGGTGTGCCAGGCCCTGCGGTGGGCAGAGCTCCTGACTCTTCTCACCCTTGAGAGATGAAGAAGGAGAAAGAGCAGCAGGTGGGAAGATGGGCAGAAACCAGAAATCAAAAGGACCAGGAAGGGGCCTCCCTGGTGGCCCTGGGAGTTAAGTCTCAGCACTATGAAGCTGTTGCCAGCCACTGCAGCACATGAGTTCAATCCCTGGCCAGGAAGTTGACCCCCATGGTACAACAGACCTCTCCTGTCTCCCCGCTGCACTGCTCCCCTCAGCAGTGGATTTCAGTGGATCCACCTGTGCTGCTTCCCACTCTGTCTCTGGTGAATCCTCCCATCCCCGCACCTCTGGCCTGCACCCCAGTTCTTGTATGCATAAATAAATAAATCTTTAAAAAAAAGAAAAAGAAAATTAAGTGGATGCCACCTAGCTATACGTATAAACACAAAGGAGAAACATGGGACATTGCATTAGCAAAGAAATTCTTAGATGAGCCACAAAATACATATCTATATATAGAATCATAGAAAAGCATCTGGATTTGACCTCAAAACAAAGATTTCCATTGGATGAAAGAATTCACGAGGAGGTTGGCAGATTGCCGACTTGCCCGAAGACATTTCCAAAAGCAGTTCGTGGAAGATTAACAGTATTGGGGGAGCATCTGCAGATCAACAAGACGAATAAGGAGAACACACTTACAACACCAACACTTCATGAGCAGACCATGCACAGAAGGTGGAAACCTAAAGGCTGTTAAACACATGAAGAGACTCTCAGCCTCACTATTGATGAGGAAAATAGAATTTAAGAACATTTTACACCCAACAGTGTTGTTTTTTTTTTTAAAGATTTATTTATTTATGCATACAAGAGCTGGGGCATAGGCCAGAGGTATGGGGGTGAGAGGACTCACCAGAGACAGAGCGGGGAGCAGAACAGGCAGACTGACTGAAATACACTGCTGAGGGGAGCAGCGGGGAGACAGGAGAGGTCTGCTGTGCCATGTGGGTAGCTCCCTGGCCGGGGATTGAGCTCATACTGCAGTGGCTGCAGATAGCTTGATAGCACTGAGACTTTAACCCCTGCGCCACCAGGGAGGCCCCCATCTCTTGGTCAAGTCTTACACTAGCCTTTGAAATATAGAGTTGATTAAATGTATACAGACAAATTACAGATTTGAGTAAGCGATGCTGGAAGTATAAGGTCAAACAGGATCATGAAACTGGGAACCAGACCCTATCTAGAGGTTGAGGAAGGCATCCTTGGCGAAGATCTTGCATTTGTTCTGATTACAGATAAACAGACGTCATCAGGGTAGCAGGGGCACGGCTGAGCAGGAGTTAGGAGAAGCAGGCGGGGAGGTGGCCCTAGGGAGTGCAGACGAGGGCATGGACTGTGGGGTTGGATTCTCACCATGGTGAGCACAGCGGGACTTACCGGAGGGTCTGGAGTTTGCAGTGGGGATGCTTAAGCCCCTCGCACAGCTGCAGCACCCCAGGGTCCCCCAGGTCGTTCAGGCTGAGGTCCAGCTCCCTCAGGCTCTGGTTCACACTGAGTGTGGAGGCCAGGTCTCCACAGGCAGCGGCGGTCAGGTGGCAGATCTTCAACCTGCAGGAGATGCAATCCAGCCTCTACTACAGGGGCTTCTCAACAATGACAATGCTGTTATCCTCCCTACCCTTAACCTCAACAGTCATGCTTTTTTTTTTTTTTTTAAGATTTATTTATTTACTTCTAGAAGCACTGGGTACAGTCAGAAGCTCGAGAGGGTGAGAGAATTCACCAGAGCCAGAGCGGGGAACAGAACAGGCAGACTGACGAAGTACACTGCTGAGGGTAGCAGCGGGCGGCAGGAGAGGTCTGTGCGCCATGTGGGACCCTCGCCCAGCAACCAGGGACCAGGGATCAAACCGGCGCTGCAGAGGCTGCGGGCAGCTTCGCAACCCAGTGCTCAACCGCTGCGCCACTCGGGAGGCCCAACAGTCATGCATGCATTTTTTAAAAGATTTATTTATGCGTACAAGAGCTGGGTGTTGGCCAGAGGTGGGGGGTATGAGATGAGAGGATTCACCAGAGACAGAGTGGGGAGCAGAACAGGTGTATCTACTGAAAATACACTGCTGAGGGGAGCAGCGGGAAGACAGGAGAGGTCTGCTGCGCCCTGTGGGTGCTCCCTGGCTGGCCGGGGATTGAACTCATGCTGCAGTGGCTGGTGACAGCCTGATAGCACTATCTTCAACCCTTGCGCCACCAGGGAGGCCCCTCCACTGTTCTACTTTCTGTCTCTATGTATTTGATTATTCTAGTTTCCTCGTGCAAGTGGAGTCAAATAATCTTTGTCCTTTTGTGGCTTATGTCACTTCACATAATATCCTCCAGGTTTAGCCATATTGGAAGATGTACCTGAATTTCCATTTATAAGGTAGAATAAGATAGTTCCTGTTTATCTGCCACATTTTGTTGATTCCATTCCCCCATTGATGGACATTTGGGTTGTTTCCACCTGCCGGTTATTTAGAATAACACTGCTATGAGCCAGGGAGGCCAAAGCATAGAGGCAATTCTATACCATCGTTCAATACGAGAGTCGCGTTTTAAGTGGACCCCCGAGAACTCACCACAAGATGCGCAGCCTGCAGACTGGGTGCCTCAACCCCCGACACAGCTGTTCCAGACCCAAATCCTCCAGCGCGTTTCCTGTCAGGTCCAGCTCCACCAGGTGTTGATTGGTGCTGAGCACAGAGGCCATCTCCTGGCAAGCCCCAGCGTCCAGCTGACATTTCCTCAACCTGGGGGCAAAGAACCAGTGAAGAGGCGCCACTTTGCTTTTCTGTGATCTGATGGCTCCTCCCTGGCCTCATTTATTTATTTATTTTTAAAAAAGATTTTATTTATTTTTGCTTAAAAGAACTTGGGTGTAGGCCAGAGGTGCGGGAGGTGAGAGGATTCTCCAGAGACAGAGTGGGGAGCAGAGCAGGCGGATTCACTGAAATCCACTGCCGAGGGGAGCAGTGGGGAGACAGGAGAGGTCTGCTGCGCCATGTGGGTCGGCTTCCTGGCCGGGGGTCAAACTCATGCTGCAGTGGCTGCAGATAGCTTCATAGCACTGAGACTTAACCTCTTGCACCCCCTCCCCCATTTAATCACCCATCATGAACTTCTGCCCATCACTCAAGCTACAGAGATTAAAGAAACTTTGCCTATAGGAGGATGCAGCCAGAAAATCCCAATACACAGGGTTCCAAGAGCGTCGAGGTGGTGAACCCATCCACAGTGGGAGGGTGCCATACACCTGCGTCCTCTGTCATATCCTTTAAGAAGTTGGCCAATGGAAATAGGTGTTTCCCTGAGTTCTGTGAGCAGTCTAGCAAGCGATTATCCCCCAAGGCCGCTGAACCTCTAATCTACAGCCAGTGCTCACAACACAGGTGAGCTACGGGGGTTGCAATTGGCATCTGAAGTGTGTTGGGAGCAGTCTCCTGGGACTGGGCCCTTCGCCCAGGGAATCTGTGGAATCTGATGTTATTGTTGAGTTAAACTGTAGGACACCCAGCTGGTGTCGCAGAACTGCTTGAGGGAGTGGGAGCCCACACATTTGGTGACCAGAAGTGTTAGAAGTAGAATGTTTTGTATGCGAAGCAGAGGAAGAAAACTGAGTGTTGTTCTAGAAGAGTGTCATTACAGGATAAGAGGAGCACTTGACTAAGAGGTCTGAGAGAGGGGAGCTCTGGGTTCTGACTGTTCAGTCCTGGTCAGTCAGGAGGTGCGGTGCTGGGTGGGCGGGTGCCTCCGAGGGAAGGGTGGGGTCAGAGCAAGGCAGAGAGAGGTTCAGCAAAAGTGCAGAGTCCAGGGCTGGGGTATGTGCTCATGGAGAAGGGCAGCCCTGATTTAGAGGCAGAGACTGGGGGTTATCCACCTTTAGGAGACATGTCAAGCAGTCAGAGATAATGAGTTTGCTGTGGGAGGCCATGGGGATGAGCGTTTGCTCCAGGGGTAGAGACTCACTGGATCATCTGCAGCCTGCACTTGGGGTGCCGCAGCCCCTCACAAAGCAGCTGTGCGCCCTTTAGCCCCAGGCTGTTGCTGCTCAGGTCCAGCCTTACTACATTCGCATTGGCCACCAGCGCCTCGGCGAGGTCCTGGCAGGCGGAGCCGGAGACCTGGCACCTCTTCAGCCTGGGAAGGAAGGAAGGAGAAAAGCATCAGGCCACTTGGTTTAGGTCTGTACCTGTTTTCCCCATTTTCTAAAATAAATGAATGGAGATTAATGTTGAGACTTAACCCCTTGCACCACCAGGGAGACCTGCAACCTGCATTCTTAAATATAGATGACACACAGACAGATAGAGGAGAGAAAGAGAGGGGAGCCTCTGTTTTAACTTAAATTGTGGTAAAATGCACTCCTTGGGGAGCCCACAGACCAACCCAGACTCACCTTAGGTTCTGGAGCTTGCAGTTTGGGTGTCTGAGCCCTTGACACAGCAGCCTCACCCCCTGGCTGCCCAGGGCATGGTGGTGCAGGGCCAACTCTATCAGGCTGGAGTTGGTGCTTAGAACGACAGCAAGCTGCGAGCCGTAGGCGTCTGGCAAAGCAGCCCTCTTGGTTCTGTGTGAGGGAAAGCAGGACAGAGTGGAGTTTTGTTTTTTTTAATTTATTTATGCACACAAACGCTGGGGTGCAGCCCAGAGATGTGGGGAGTGAGAGGACTCACCAGAGACAGCGTGGGGAGCAGAATAGGCAGATGTACTGAAACACACTGCTGAGGGGAGCAGGTAGGAGACAGGCGAGGTCTGCTGCGCCATGTGGGTCAGCTCCTTGGCCGGGGATCAAACTCAGGCCATCAAGGTGATAGCACTGAGACTTGACACCTAGGCCACCAGGGAGGCCCCTCATTCCATTTATTTGAGGAATACAGAGCACCTCATTTTGCCCCATTCACTTTAGAATCTACACTCACCTCAGTTCTCCATACACATGTAATATATTTTTTCTCTTGTAAATTCAAGTTTGATGTTAATTTGATTGCTTTGCCAAACTAAGAAGAACCCAAAAGGGAGGGGGATTTTCCTTTCCACCCCTATATCCAGAATTTGTTTTAAACAGTCTTCTAGGTGATTTAAGGTTGAGAACCACAGATACATTAAATGATTTCCTTTTTTAAAAAATTTTGATCAATTATTTTCTTTTCTCTCTCTGCTCAGAGCTGATGAAAGCAGACTTTCCAATGAAAAACCAGAGCCAGAAATTACCCATCTGTGACCTAAGAGCACAATTCCTTCAATAGGTCTAAAATTAACATATCAGGAGGTTTCACAGGAAAGCACGGATTCCTACATTTTCTTGAAAATCCAGGTCTGGCTACCCAGGGACCCCGTGAGCTCACGGTCGGCTCCGTGGGCTTCAGGTGGAACCGGACTTCTCTGGGCCGCCAGCCCTGGCCAGCCTCCCGCAATGGTGACCAGTCTAGCTTTGCTCATTTCTTAGCACCATAATCGCATCTGCCGAAAACAACACGAGTTACTTATCTCCCAGGTCTGAAGCCAGAAGGCTAAAAGGGGTCTCATCGGGTGTGGGCAGAGCTGGCTCCTCCTGGAGGCTCCAGGGGAGAATCCATTTCCTTGCCTTTTAGACTTTCCAAAGGTGCCCTGCCTGGCTCCTCCCCAGCCCTGCTTCCTGACTCTCATCACTCCGACCTCATCACACATCATAGTCCCCTTCAGCTGCCTCTCGGTGCTTCGTGACGACCTGGGACAATGCAGGGCCGTCCCGCCACCTCAGGAGCCTTAACTGCACCCGCAAAGCCCCTCTGCCATGTCAGCTCTCATATTCTCAATGTCCAGTGACTAGAGAACATGGCATCATTAGGGGAGCCATTCATCTGTCCACCGCAGTAGACCAGCAAGCACTGGAATTTATCATTCGTACTTTCGAGACAGTAGAAAAAACATTTGGTCTCCACCCCCATGTTCCTGACAAGAAGCCCCTAAAACCCTGGTAATTTTCTAAGTGATAAGAGCACTAGGAAAAGCCTTTGTTCCAATATTTGATCTTTAACCCCCGTTCCTAACACAGAGCTCCTCAGCCCCTGGAATTTCCTGGGTGATAGCTGTGTCTTTGTTCTCATGAGGTGACTCTGGTGGGCTCCTGGGAGGGAGCTGGCCTCCAGAAAGACCAAGCCACGATTAGAAGCTTGGACGTTTCAGCCCCATCCCCCATCCTCCAGAGAAGGGAGAGTGACTGAGCATGGAGTTAATGATCAATTGTTGCCTACAAGATGAAGGCGCCGGGAAAATCCTCAAAGTATGGGATCTGGAGAGCTTCCCATTTGGTGACCAGGGAGAGGTGCAGGGAGATGCCGCCCACCAGGACCTCTTCCTCTGGGTGTTCCTGTGTCTGTCTTCAGAGCCCTTGATAATGAACTGGCGAACAGAGCCTGAATTGTTTTCCTGAGTCCCAGGGGCTGCTCAGTAAATAATCAACTGCAAGGGGGACAAGATCAGGGGAACTTCCTATGAGTACCCAAGTCAGGCAGAAGTTGGGGGTAACCTAGAGACCTACTACTTAAGTTGGGCACCTGAAATCAGGGGTGGTGGGGGGCAGCCCCCTGGGAGGCAGCCTTCACCCTGTGGGATCCCCAGGTAGACAGATTTGTGTTAAATTGTAGGAAATAGTTGGTGCCACAGAGAATTGCTTGGCATGGGGAAGAAACCCTGGTCCTCTAATTGTGATAACCAAGCACAACTCCAGATATCATCAAGTACCTCCTAGGGTGGAGGCAACAGCACCTCCCCTGAGAACGCGAACTGGGTGAAGAGCATGAACATGAACGTGGAGAAAGAGCTCCAGCAAGTACTTACGGCTGCGCGGGCTGAGCGCTGGGTGCCGCCGAGCGTGCTGGCCCGCCCTCCTCGTCCTCCCGGTAGGCGGCCCCGTGCAAGTGCAGCACGAGCGTGTTCCTGCAATTCTTCACGCAAAACGACGAGACCAAGTACTCCATCTTTGTGGCCATGTGGCTGACCACCACCACTTGGAAGTGGCTCAGAGCTTGTTGGATAAATTCCTCCTCTTGGATCTCATACAGACAGTTAAACAACTCCAGAGCGCCTTGCTGCAGCGTGGAGCCCTCGCTCTGAGCCTTGCTCTGTATCCACTCCAACACTTGAGCCTTGATGCGAGGAGAGACCTTCCAGCCCAGACTCTCCGCCAGGTAGCGGCTCATCTCCTCGTTCAGGAGTCCAAAGAGGAAATGGACCGTGAATGCCAAGAAGCTCCTTTCAGAAAACCCATACTCGGTCAACAGCCTGGCCAGGCTCTCCTCCCCATCCAGGATGTAGTACATGGCTGCGAAGAATTCCTGGAAACTCAGGTGGATGAAACTGTAGACCTTCTCGCAGTTGATGTCCTTCTGGAAGATGTTCATGTTGAGGAAGGCAGAGACATCTGCCCCATCCAGGCCGTGCTTCCTGAGGTCCTGCTCCTCAAACAGGATTTTCTGGTGCCAGAGGCCATCTGCGGCCAAGGAACACAGCCTTCTCTGGTTGGGCGGTGGCAAGAGGGTAGGGGTTCCCGGCTTGGGTTGCATCAAGCTCAGGAAGTAGAGCATGTACACAGCAGTGGTGGTCCTGGACTTCTGTCTTAAAAGCCCCCCATCCTCCAACTGCTGTTTGAGGCAGGTGCAAATGACCCAGCACACCAGGGGCACAAAGCACAGCATGAAGAGGGCCTCGTTGTCCCTCACGAAGTTGAAGACCTGGGCGGCTTGCTCTGCATCGTCGAAATACTTGTAGAAGTATTCCTTCCGTTCTGCTTGGGAGAAACCCAGGATCTCCACGTGCCTGGGGTGCTCCAGCATGCACTGGAGTTTCTGCAGAGCCGTGGGCCTGGTGGTGATAAGCAAAGATAGCTCAGGCAGCACCTTCTTCTGAATCAGGCTGCTCAGGAGAAGCTCCGGGGGCTGCTTCGTCTCCCAGCAGAAGCAACAGGGACCTTGCGGGTCGTGGAAGGATGGCTTGAGCTCATCGAAGCCGTCAATGATGAACAGCAGGCGCTCGGGAAGGCGGACGAGGTCCCGGAGGGGCACGGTGGGCTCCGGCCAGCAGCTGGAGATGAGGTCTTGGGCGCTGCGCTCAGCGCTACCCTGGTTCATCTCCCTGCAGTTGATGTAGAAGAGATAATCAAACCTGTCTTGGAAGAGCTTCCCGTCGGCCCAGTCCAGCATCACCTTGTGGGCCAACATGGACTTGCCCATCCCCGCTGCGCCCTGCAGGACCACGGTGCGTGGAGGCTCAGGGCGCTCCTCGTCCGGCTCGAAGAGGGTCTCCATCTGGATGAGGCTCGTGTGGTGTCCCCGGTCTGTGTTCAAAAGTTTCTGCTGGGCCCACAGGGGACTGGAGTGTTCTTTCACCAGCAGGAGCCGGGTATATCGGTGGCTGAGGTTGACACACTCGCCCAGGCGTGCGTTGCGGTCCTCCATGAGCCTGAATTTCCTGCGCACGTAGTCCCTGTAGGCTTCCCCGGGGTCTGATGGAGAGGAATGAAGGATGAGTGGAAGAGTCAGCGACTTTGTTTTTTTTTAAAGATTTATTTATGCATACAAGAACTGGGGTGTAGGGGCCTCCCTGGTGGCGCAGGTGGTTGAGCGCAGCGCTGTGAAGCTGTCTGCAGTCTCTGCAGTGCTGGTTCGATCCCCGCCAGCCCCGGAGCAACCCACATGGTGAGCAGACCTCGCCCGTCTCACCTGCTGCTCCCCTCAGCAGTCTGCTGTTTTGTCAGTCTGCCTGTTCTGTTCCTCGCTCTGTCTCTGGTGAATCCTATTGTAACAGGGTGGTCCCCAGAAAAGGAGGAGGTTCCAGGTTTCCTGTGGGGTTTGCCCCTCTCCCTGCCCTGTAACACTCTCACCCTCCTGTGCATCTGGCCTGTACCCCAGCTCTTGTATAAATAAAATAAATCTAAAAAAAAAAAAGGCCGGGCACATCACCACTTTCTGGAAGATGGAAAGTGGTGACTTGCGCTTAGAGGAAAAGCCCACCTCCCTAGCGGCATGCTCGGCTCCTCCTATTGAAGTAACCCACCCATCTCAAATGAGCTGGTTGCAAATGCAAAATCTTGAGCCCCACTCCCCATGGACTCGGCCAGAAATGCATCTGTATCAAAATGGCTGCACGTTAAATTAGGAGATAGCAAGTTTTCTCTGCCCCCTCTGAAAAAGGGTAGATGCAAGTCTGCGCTGAAGAATTATCTGTTCTATAAATCTTTTGCTTGACCTGCTTGGAAAAGCCTGACTAGAGGGGGCTTGGTATAAATGCCCAGGAATAGACCCTTCCCCAGCCTGGGCACATCTGCAAGGTCTGGGACTGGGAGTGGCGACTGCCACCTAGTGGGCATATATGGGCCTTGCAGGCTGGACAGGAGGGGTCCCGTCGCAGCACCCAGTTTGCCAAGGGGGAGAAACTCTGATTTAAACACAATGGATGCTCTTGCATTCAGATGTCATCACAGGCCCAGAATATCTGCCCACAGGAAGGTAAAAAAGATCTGAAGGTGATTCCAGGACTGTATCAAAACGAAGGCATGGAAAACAGATCCATAACCTGATTATTTGCCATTTTGACTGCTTTAAGCCCCAGACTCAGTGGCTCGAAGTGCATCCACAGCACTGTGCTCCGTCACCACATAATCTCCAGGACTTTTTCATCCTCCTCAACAGAAACTCCATACCGACTACACAGTAACGCCCCATTCTCCTCTCTGCCCTGAGTCCGTGGTGGCCACCCCAGTCTGCTTCCTTGTCTCTATGAATGTGACGGCTTTAGGGGCCTGTGGCGTGGAGTTATTGGAGTTAGGGTATTGAAGCAAAAATACAGGACAATTAGGAAATGAAGCAAAAATACAGGACACATATAACTCCAAGATATTGAGTTATATGTGTCCTGTATTTTTGCTTCATTTCCCTTAGCAGAATATTTGCAAAGTTCATCCATGTTGCACCAAATATCAGAATGTCATCCCTTTTTAAAGCCAGTCAGAAGGTGACAAGTCTAAGGGCGACACTCCAGTCTACAAGGTTGATGGAATTGAAAATTAGGAAGAGGTTGGGATTTGGCACAAATCCACTACATTAATTCTGCAAACGCCCATCCCAAAACATTTTCTTATAAGCAAGCCTTAAAGAAATGCCTTTTTTTGCTTAAATACCCTCGGTAGGAGAGTCTGGTACATATGACCAATTCATTCGAGCAGGCGCGTGGCTCGGGGCTCACCTTTCCTGGGAGTTTGGGGCAGAACGGCCACCCATCCTGACTGGTGCCCCAAAGGGGACTGGCCTCCAGGCGGGGTGTCTGGAAGAGAAATTTTGTAAATCAGCTAACAGGTATCTGACTCAGTAATATTAGCCACTGTTACGTCAAACTGTCCCCATGAGAACTCACACGCCAGAATGTTCAGCAGTCACGTGCAGTCAGCATTCTTCGTAACTCACTTTCCTTCCTGAATATTCATCAGGAGGCCCGGCACCTCCACCTACCCACGTCAGCCAATTCAGCCGACAAGTTCTGAATCAGTTTGGGTTATCCCCTCCCATGGCCGTGTCCCATGTCCCATCCATCATCCATGTGTTCATTCCATTCATTCCATTCCATTTACACACTCACACACACACACACATGCGATTTATAATAAAAGAAATCTGAAGCTCTGTGTGTGGGCCAATGTTATCCAGACATTTTTCTAGGCATTAGATATAGAGGGATAAACAACACACCAGGTCCGCACTGCATGGACCTTACATTCTAACGGTGTGTGGAGAGTTCAGTACACACAAAATGAACACCATATAATGTTTGCCTAAGATGTGTGACCCACATAACCTCTGAGATGATGATGAAGACTGTCTAAAACTAACCATGCTAGGGCCTCTCTGGAGGTACAAGGCGTTAAGTCTACACACTGTGACGCTATCCAGGGAGCTACCCACATGGCGCAGCAGATCTCTCTTGTCTCCCCACTGCTCCCCTCAGCAGTGGATTTCAGTAGATCCGCCTGTTCTGCTCCCCACTCTGTCTCTGGTGAGTCCTCTCACCCTCCACACCTCTGGCCTGTACCCCAGTTCTTGTATGCATAAATACATCTTTAAAAAAATTAAACAGGCTACGTGAAAAAGGATGAGAATAGTAATCCCAGTCTCAGGGATTACCACCGAGGAGAGGGGAATTGTACCCTTGCCAGTCCCATCACCTCCTTACCCCTCACCAGGTCCTCTCTCTGTCCTCTCTCGCATAGGTCCTTCCTGTTGATCCGCTCAAAGAGGCTCAGAGCCAGCCGCCAGGCGTCCCTGGCCCCACAGTGGGCCACCAGCAGCTGGGCCATCTCTAGGGGGCCTGCGGTCTCCATGCGCCCCCAAGGGATCCTGCCCCGCCCTAGCTCGGCCACAGCCCCCAGGTAGAACTTGAACTTCTTCAGGTCCACAGCCTCCAGTTCTTCCAAGTAGGTGGACAGGAGACAGAGGCCATCCCTGACTGGGGTGCGGGGCATGGGGGCGTCGTGAACCCCAAAGAAGAGAAGCTGGAGACCAGGACAGACAATCCCGACATGCCTACTGTCCGGCTGTTCACAGGCAGAGGCTGCAGGATGGTGCGAGAGGAAAGCCCTGCTGATGAAATAGTTGCTTTCTCATCCCTCAGTTCCCGCCTGCCCAGCTGCCTGACGCGTGTTCACTCAAGAAGAGGAAGTGGGGAGAGGTTAGGAAATCTCAAAAGAAAGCATTCTACTTCTTTTTTTAAAATAAATTTTATTTATTTATTTTAAAGATTTAATTTATTTATCTATGCATACAAGAACTGCGGTACAGGCCAGCGGTGCGGGGGTGAGAGGAATCACCAGTGAGAGTGGGGAGAACAAGTGGGTTCACTGAAATTCACTGCTGAGGGGAGCAGCGGGGAGACAGGAGAGATCTGCTGTGTCCTGTGGGTCAGCTCCCTGGTCGGGGATCCAACTCCTGCTGCAGAGGCTGGTGATAGCTTCGAAGTGCTGAGACTTAACCCCTGCGCCACCAGGGAGGCCCCAAAGCATTTCATTTCTGCTTCCTCTGCCTTGGTAGTCGGGTACTCTCTTTCTGTTGCGTCCGACTGGGTGTGTCTCGAACTGGACGCCTCTTCAGAACAGCATCAGATGGGTGAGCAGTAGAAAAACAGTGAATGGAAAACTCAGGGGTGGAGCAGCTACATGCTTGTAGATTCTAAAGCACAACGGAGCAGACCAAAGGTGTTTATTCTGCATTTTGGGACCTGAGGCCTCCAGGACAGGACTGACAAGGAGGGGGTGACCTCATCCTCAATCTGAGAGAAAAGATGAGACTGTTAGAGATGATTATATAGAGAAGACATATTTACTGATAAACCTAGAACTGGGGCCTCCCCGGTGGCGCAGCGGTTGAGCGCTGGGTTGCGAAACTGCGCGCGGCCTCTGCGGCGCCGGTTCGATCCCCGGCTGCTCCCCGGCCACCGGAGGAGGGTCCCACATGGCGTGCAGACCTCTCCTGCCGCCCGCTGCTCCCCTCAGCAGTGTACTTCGGTCCTTCTGCCTGCCTGCTCTGCTCCCCGCTCTGGCTCTGGTGAATTCTCTCACCCTCCTGCGCTTCTGACTGTACCCAGTGCATGTATAAACAAAACAAACAAACAAACCAGCAAACAAATAAATAAAACATGCCTCTATAAAAAAAAAAAATAAAAAAAATAAATAAACCTAGAACTGGCTGGAGCCCCCTGAACTACATTCCTCTAGGTCATCAAAGGGAGCAGTGATGGCTCTTTCGATTGGGTTGACGGTAGGAGCTTGGGATGTGATGATGCTCTCGTTTCTGGTCTCTGGTGTGGACAAGGACAGAAGCTTCCCTTCCCCTTGGGTCCTCACCGTTCTCACCCCCAGACTGGACCCATTAAGAAAATCCTATCTGACCCTTCTGGGGGGACTAACCCCACACCGGCAACTAAGACAGTGCCTGGAATAGGGCATGCAGGCCAGGTGCCCAGCAGCAGGCTCCCAGCTGGTGGCGAGGCTGCTGGCCCAGGTCCACATTTGCACAACTTCGCAAATATACAAGCCTCCCCCCACCTTCACCCCAACCCCTGCTGCACAAACACACACGCCTTCAAAGAGTGGATTTATGCTATGTGAGTTAATGTGAGAAAATAATCTGACTATAAATGCAACATAAGTGAGATATTTAGGCAATGAGATAATATGATAAAAATGAAGTTATATATATATATATATATGTATTTAAAAAGAATATCACCCACCATCCGGTTAGAGCTGCTTTTAAATATGTCCAAAATCATGTGTTTCCTGCTTTGTCTGAGTGGATGCAACACTTTGGTGATTTATACATTTTCAGTAGTCAGTCCAAGTGGGATTAGTTCTGGGGCTGCAGCAAATCTGCTGGTAAGGTGTACGGCTGGGCAGTGGGTGCTCAGCACCCAGGCTCTCCCCACTTCTGCTCTCACCCCGTCATGCACTTGCACTGTCCTGCCTGACACCACGTGGTCACAGGTGGCTGGCACAGCCATCCACAGGGAAGCGGTGAAGGAAATGCTCTTCTCAGAAGGCAACTGACATTTCATTGCCCAGAACTTGGGTGCTGGGGCATCTCCCCCACCCCTCCCCCCTTCTCCACCTCCCCCTCTTCTCTCTGGTCTGCAAGGCAGGGTTCACACCACTTGCCGATGAGGATGCTCTGCGGATTGGAAGGAAGCAGTGATTTCAACGCATGAATGATTTTGCCAGGTCTTCCCACCCTGGTCTCTGCCCCTGCCTTGTTTGGTGACGCGGACAGCCAGACAGCCGAGGAAGTGAGGAAGTTCTCTGCTATCAAGGAAGACTCTAGTCTGAATGAATTTGCATTAGGGGGAGGCTGGGGTTAGGCTTAGGGTTAGGGTTAGAGAGCAGCTTTGCCTCTCACTCTCCCAGCCCAAGCTTTTATCAAAGAGATGAACAAAGGAGCAAGAAAATTACACACATTTGCGTTTTTGCTTATACAGATTAATAAGTTACTGCTGAAACAAGATTTTCTTTCTTTTTTTTAAAAAGATTTATTTATTTTTTTCAAGATTTATTTTATTTGTACAAGAGCTGGGACACAGGGCAGAGTTGCGGGAGTGTGAGAGGATTCACCAGAGCCAGAGCGGGGAGCAGAACAGGCAGACAGACTGAAAGCACTGCTGAGGGGAGCAGCGGGCGAGGCAGGAGAGGTCTGCCGCACCAAGTGGTCAGGAGATAGATCTCCTGCTGCAGTGGCTGCTGTAGCTCCATAGTGCTGAGACTTAACCCCTGTGCCACCAGGGAGGCCCCCTTCTAGTTTCATTGTGGGACTCCAGTGAACTAATGTCATTGCTCCCTTCTAAATGGCAGGCGGTAGCGCTTGCTGGGACCCATGCCGTGGGGTGCAGGCACGGTTGGTCTCTAATGTGGTTCAGACTTAGCACGTCTAGGATGGAAGAAGAAAATGGCGCCTGCCCTGGTTCCATCTGTATTCCCAGGGCCAGACATACAGGAGGCGCTCAGGCAATATATGAATAATTACGGATATAATTAAACATGAACATAATAACTATGAGAATATAAGTATGAATGAATTAATGAAACAGATGAGAGAGTGGATGAATGAAAGAGTGAAAAGTGTCACCAAAAAGGGAATTTTAGAAGCCACATGGGGAAAACCAGAGGGAAAAGAAATGGGAAGGGTCAGTCCTTGTGAGGACGTCCAGTGGTGCTGGGAGGTTCTGCTGAGTGGTTCCCCACTCACTCCCACCAGTGGTGTGATCTACGCTGTGATCACACCTGGTGCATCTCCATGAGCTGTGGGAAATGTTGCGTCCTCAGGTGCCCTGGGGGAGCCAGAGCTGCCCAGGGGAGTTCACACATACCTACAGAGAACACGTGTCTACCCCCTTCAAGGACCCTACACCACTGCTAGCACCAGCAGCATAAGCTCAGAAACAACTGGTCCCAAGTGGAAATCATCATTCCCAACTTATTTTTCTTTAAGATTTATTTATTTTTATACAAGAACTGGGGTATAGGCCAGATGTGCAGGAGGGTGAGAGGATTCACCAGAGACAGAGCGGGAAACAGAATAGGCAGACTGAAGAAATACACTGCTGAGGGGAGCAACGGGCGAGCCAGGAGAGGTCTGCCTTGCCATGTGGGATTCTCGCCGGCTGGCCGGGATTGAACCCGCGCTGCATAGGCTATGGACAGCTTCACAGTGCAGCGCTCAACCGCCTGCCCAACCGCTCAACCCGGGAGGCCCATCATTCCCAACAGGACCAGAGAGTGTCAGCCAAGAGCAGTGCTAGAAAATGGTGGAAACAACTTTCAAACCTAGGTGTGTCTGGCTCCAAAGTCCAAGCTTTTGAACCCTCATCAGCTGGAAGGACACTTAGAGACCCACCTGGGGTCAATCCTCTGATTTGAAAAAAAGGTAAACTGAGGCCCAAAGAAATGAAGTCACCTGCAGACCCATCCCAGAGCTGCCGGCCACAGCCAGAGGCAGCTCCCTCTACCCCTGTCATGTTACTGTGTCTCGGTCAGAGTTAGGCCGCCCCTGGGGTCTGGGCACAGGGCTTGTGAAACTTCCTGCCCAGCTGTGTCCTCACCCCACTTACGGCACACCCTGCAGGAAGTCCCCAGCTAGGTGGCCCCTTCCTCATCCGGCTTCAGAGATCTTTGGGGAGTTCCTAGGCCTCCAGGTTCTCATCATTCCTGCCCCCGCCCACCAGCAGATGCAGCCATTGGTCAATGACATTAAAAGTTAACATAAGGGGGCCTCCCTGGTGGCGCAGGTGGTTGAGTGCAGGGCTGTGAAGCTGTCCACGGCCTCTTCAGTGAGGGTTCAATCCCACCGGCCGGGGAGATATCCACATGGCACAGCAGACCTCTCTGGTCTCCCTGCTGCTCCCCTCAGCAGTGTATTTCAGTACATCTGCCTGTTCTGCTCCCCACTCTCTCTGGTGAATCCTCTCACTCCCCGAACCTCTGGCCTATACCCCGGCTCTTGTGTGCATAAATAAATAAAATAAATCTTAAAAAAAAAAAAAAAGTAGATCTACCTTAAGATCCAGTAGTTCTGCTCTTAGGTATCTGTCTGAGGAACACAAAAACAGTCATTTGAAGGGACGCTTATGTTCACTGCAGCGCTATTAGCAATCTTACTCACCAAATAGTACCTTTTAAATAGAACATAAGGTTAAAATTATTTTCATCTCTTTCTTTTTTCCTTTTATATTGTGGCTACTAGAAAACTTTAACACACGTGGCTTGCATTATATTCTGTTGGAAAAAACTGCTTTAAAATAGCACCGCATGTTGTCAGGTATGGGGTGAGCCAGGCCGTGCTCAGGCTGTGACAACCACCGCACAGCCACCCCCATGAATGCCAGGAGGAACGTGCCCTCCACTTTAAGATTCACCTCAACCTCAGGGCCTCCCTGGTGGCACAATAGACATGTGGCAGGCTTTGGGGCCTCAGGGGGCCTGCTCTGGGCCAGCCCTGTTTGCCTGGGCATTTACCCACGAGGGGATGGCTAACTCTGGGTGTTTCCTTTCAAACT